GCCCCTTGTTTAGTCATGTAATGAAGAAACATTCCAGCATCCTAACATGATACCCCCCCATTCATCTGAATATTTAACTAAACCTAAGATGACCCAGGATCAGACATTGTTTCGTTCTGCTGTGCATGGGGTTGCTATGAGTCGGTTCCTACTCGATGGCACCTGACAACAACAACAACAAGATGACCTCCTCATGGGGGTTACATTTGTTTTCAGATAAACTGAAAAATAAACAGTACTGAGGGATCAAAAAAAAAATAAAAAAAACCCTTTAGGGAAAAGAATTTGGCAATTTAAAATTGTTACACATATAAATGACCCATAAAATCCCTTTCTAAGAATTTAACTTTGTTGATATGCATATGCATGTAGTTAGTTGACATGTAGCAGTGCTGAAAAAACAAATGCTTAGAGAAAGCTGGGTTTTCATTAGTAGGAAAATATTGACATAAAGAGTATTTATACAGTTGTTGTTGTTAAGTGCCATTGAGTTGGTTCTGACCCATAGCGACCCTGTATAGGGTTTCCAAGGAGTGACTGGTGAGCTTGACCCACCAACCTTGCAGGTCAAATGGCTTTGCAGTCTGGTACATTAACCCACAGCATGCTCACACTTGTAAATGATACCCATGTGACCTAGACCGGATGACTGGACGATCGGAGCTCAACCAGGAGAGGAAAGAAGAGGGGGAAAAAAAAAAAGTGAGCTAATACAGTCTCTGGTAGCGTAGTGGTTACGAATCGGGCTGTGAACCTTAAAGTCAGCGGTTCGAAACTACCAGCTGTTCCGCGGGAGAAAGATGAGGCTTTCTACTCCTGTAAAGATTTATACCCTCGGAAACCCTGTACAGGGTCGCTATGGGTCGGAACCGACTCGACGGCACTCAACAACAACAACAACAATACAGTCTGATGAACTTGACCTATACTTATGGAGTAACGACTCAAAAGAGGGAACAAATCCTCACAGCAACAAACATTCACACACCCCCAAATACACAGAGTGGACAGAGAAGGGCAGTTTGGACATTGGATACTCAAATTGGGAGGGGGGACTACAAAGGCAAGAAGTGACTGGCTTACAAGCTTTCAAGAGGGAACCTAGTGCTAGGGAGCATGGCGGAAGGCAGAATCTCCAGTAGGTACTATTCAATCTGTCTGGGCAGAGCTGATGAAAGGAGATACAGATGGGTAACTCGTGATACTGTAGTGAATAATGCTTATCAGGAAGGACTATGAGGGTTGGAAGTGCAAAGGTAGAAGTTTTGTAACAAGGAAGGGAGTGATTAAATCTCCAGGATAGGAGTGGAGACCTCAGGGACCATCAGCGGAGAAGAGCCGAGAGCGGGACCCTACCCAGAGAAACAGAGATGCCTGAGATGGAGGCAGAGATGATGACGCGGAGTGATGAAGCGACTGGGGACTTTGGACCCAGAGAGGGAAAGGGGCTGTGGGCCGGAAACTGGGGGGAGGAGGGGGAAGTGTAGGGGGTGGGTTTCTGGGATATACCCTTTGGGTGGTTGATGATGCATGGAGGGGATTAGAACCATGGTAATGAGATGATATATGATGGAATGAATGTAAAACTAAAGTTCCCCCATGTAAACTATCATCATATAATTCACAATAAAACATTAAAAAAAAAAAAAAAAAAAAAGAATGAGGTGGGTAGAGATAGGAAAGGAATTCGGAGCACTGAAGGTTTCAGCTGTACTCAACATTTGACTCCATAAGCTGAATGCTGGGTACACAAAGCCTGCTAGATGTTTATTTTATTTTATTATTATTTTTTCTTTTCTGTTTTCAATGCTCCATGAGTCAGCAGAACTATGCTCCATAGGTTTTTAATGACTGATGTTTCAGCACCAGACCTTTAACATTTGGTTTGTAAATTTGCAATTATTCTGGTCACATGCAGGCCTGTTTTTTCTGAATAATATATCTTGTACTGTACACTGGTATTTTAACCTGATTTTGTTGTTTATACCTATGCAGCATTGAGAAGAGATAGGTAAATAGGTTGTGGTATAGTCAGACCATACAAGGAATGGCATCCAGCAGTAAAACGCATTTCATTAGCATGTATTCCCAAGGGAGAATTTAAAGAAACCTGTGGTTGAGCAGCATTTATCCATTTATATTCAGAGTTTTCAGTTTTGTAGTTGGTCCATATTCATAACATATGGACTCTAGAGGTTTTGACCATATTTGATTTTGGTAAAAATCAGTTACATGCTTGTCTTAATCTTTTTCTTGGCTGATTTGTATTGCAAATACAGGGTTTTCATGGTCTGATGGTTTTGGATATTAGGAGATATGTGCCCCACGGATAAAACACTTGGTTATAATTGACATTTCGGGACTGGGGTAGGGATGAGGGGCATTGCTTTTTATCTATATTTAATATATTCTTTGTAACTATTTGAAAATTTACTATAGACTCTTTAGCTTTTGGCTATTATCTAATAGGTGATCTCTTTTATGATTTAAATTGTAGATTGCCCTCCTAGACTCACCTACTGCTTTAAGTATGGAGGAAAAACTTCAGCAGAATGAAGCAAGAGTAAGTGATACTTTTTGACTTTTTTTTTTTTTTTAATCATAACTTTCACTATTTGTTATGAATTGAATTGTGTCCACCCCCCAAAATATTGTAATCCTACACCCTGTATCTTTAGTGGTTACAATCACATTTGGGATGAGATTTTCTTTGTTATATTAATGTGACCTTCCTAGTATAAGGTATGCTTTAAATCAATCTCTTATGTTGTAAAGGATCAGATTAAGGAAGCAAGCATAAACTGGAAGAAGATAGATCACAAACCACATGATTGTCAAGGAACCTTAGGAATAGAAGCTGAAAATATCTGCGTTGCCTAGAGTAGATGGAGAGAGACAGCTTTCCCTTAGAGCCAGCACCCTGAATTCAGACTTCTGTGGTGCTGTAGGATAAGCACTAGACTGCAAGGTTGGTTTGAACCACAAGTTTGGCGGTTCAAACTCACTAGCCACTCCTAGGAAACCCTATACAGGGTCGCTATGAGTCCAGACTTCCTTGATGGCACTTAAAAACAACACACTATGAGAAAATAAATTTGTTTGGTGAAGTCTCCCCTCTAGTATTTATTTTTTTAGCAGTACTAGGTAAATAGCTAAGGAGCTCTGGTAGCACAGTGGTTACGAATCGGGCTGCGAACCTTAAGGTCAGCAGTTCGAAACTACCAGCTGTTCTGCGGGAGAAAGATGAGGCTTTCTGCTCTCGTAAAGATTTCCAGCCTCGGAAATCCTGTACAGGGTCGCTATGAGTCGGAACTGACTCCATGGTACATAACCACCAACCAGGTAGATAGCTAAGACACATTTTAAGTATATGATCTTTAGTGCTCTTGTTTGAGACTCATTTGCTCTCTTGGTTGTACGTAAGCACCCCCTCGCCTCATCCCTGATCATTGTTTTGTTGTTGCCATTCTTAAAGAATCACAATAGTTGAGTTTTTATGTATTAGGTCACATTCTGGGATTTATGTAGAATGTGTTTGTCACAGAATGGCTATCTTACAGCAGCAGTTCGCATCTGTCATAGCAAAGCAGTGAGGCCATCAGAGCAGACAAGTGTCTAGGGAGCCCATGTTCATCATTCACTAAACAGTAATTGTTCCTAACGCTTACTAGTGACCATGGCTTGGTTTTCTATCCTCCCTTATTATTTTGTTTCCAGTGGGAAGTACAGCAGCACCTGTGGGATCTCTAAATTCTTTTATGTAGTTGCTTAGTTTCTCTTTGACTGAATGGAATTTGAGGCTGGGAGGGAGAGTGGCAGTGAGTAACCTGAGGAAAGAAGAGCTCCAGAAATGTTAACAGTGGTTGTACTAGGGATGAAAGACCCAGATTGAAATTTTTATATAGAGGTGGTTATTTGCCATGGAGTCGGTTCCAACTCATAGCAACCCTATATAGGGTTTCCAAGGCTGTAAATCTTTACTGGAGTAGAAAGCCACATCTTTCTCCCATGGAACGGCTGGTAGTTTCAAACTGCTGACTGTAAGATTAGCAGCCCGACTCATAACCACTATGCTACCAGGGGTCCTAAAATATTGAATAGAGCATGTTTTATTAAGCCTTAAACAGGATAAAGACAAAAACAGATCATTCCAGATGAGGGAAACTGTCAACATGAGGCCAGTGAGTTTGCACTGACTAACGTCATTGGGCTAATCATACATGTTGGAAAACAAAGGGAATCATCACAAATTCATGATTAGTTTTGGTCAGTTCATGGCTATTGAAGCCAGAACTGCAGAAATGGGGAAAGGATCAAGATTAGGATTACACATGAGAAAAGTTTACAGGCAGGACTGGTTCTCGGGCTTCGCCCACCTGGCTGTGTGGTGGTCCAGATAGGACTCATGACCTTACAACCCTGAATCATAAGCACTAGAACCCCAACTTTTAGCTTAACTAGTTAACATTCGGCTATTTTGGATAAATTATTAAGACCAGTTCCCTGTTCTGTGAGCAAACCTGGGAGTTTTAATCTGCTTTCAAACATACGATTCCTGCGGGCAAAACTGCTTCTCCCTGCTTTCCAGGATTTGTTACAGCCATATTGCTGGTTTAATGGTCAGAAAGTACTGAAATGGAGTCTGAATTTTTGTCAAGCCTCAAAACCGCAGACTTCCACAAACCAAGTGCTGTAGAATTTCAGATCTTATACATGGCTCAAAGCCAATGTTTGTGTAATGGTGCTTTTTGAAAACCAGTTTCATGGCTGACCTGCTCCTATACCATTTTTGTTTTGTTTTTAAATAACAGCCTCTGTGAAAAGAGAAACAGATATTAAGAACAATTTTTGGAGTTGAATGAGAAAGAAAATTGGTTCTGTTGCTAACCTCTTGCAAGAAACCACAGTATTGAAGATATAAATTGGCTGTAGTTAGTAACTTAAAGATACTTCCTGAATGATAATGCTGATAATAGATTAGTAAAATCATTAGTGTCTTAATTCCTATTTCTCATGACATTTTGTATTTTAGTGTTTGCTATTCTAATTTTGAGTGCTGTGAAATAAATATCTGGGTATGGTCTTGAATTGTTTCTTAATAATAGTTTTCAGGAATCCTAGCAAGTTAATAGAAACCAATAGACATTTTAATTCAAATGCTTTTTGCATGCTGTGACATAAATGACTGCTTATTTCATTCTTCACATTTTCTAAAATTTGCCTTGTGTAATGCTGACCCTTTGAAATTGTTTGCCACCTGCTTGGCTATAAATCTCGTCTCATGATTACATTGATAAGAGCTGGCATCAGAATGTTTACCTTGTTAAAATTAACGTTACAAATGAAGATTATTTGATTTAATTTCATTTGTAAAATCTAAAAATTTATGATTTTTAACATTATAATTATTTAATTGAATTGGAAAAGAATCGATTAGCTTAATCTCTTTGGTGAGAATATATCTATTGTTGAAGTGTAGAATCATTTATATTTGAAGGTTTTATATTACTCAAATAAGTTGCAGAATCTATACAGTAACTTATTGGTATAAACTAGTAAATTCAGTACACTAGTTTTTCCCCCTCTGTACCTACCAGTTAGTTGCTCCTTGGACCCCCTATGCTGTTAAGTACCACTGAATAGGTTCTGACTCATAGCAACGCTGTATAAGCTTTCCGAGGAGCAGCTGGTGGGTTTGTGCTACTGACCTTGGGGTTCACAGTCCAGTGCTGATCCTACAACACTATACCAGGAGTGCTGGAAACCCTTTAAAACCAACTCCATGGCACTTAACAACCACAAAAGGAAAAGACATTGTTTACAAAACTGTTAATAATAGAACTCATAGAGTTCTAGTTAAGGTAAATTGAGGAGTTAAATAACTGCCACCGAAAGACTTGATATAGGTAAATGAAATAGATGTTGCTTTTCCTTTTAGTTAAATCACTCTTCCGGTTCTTTCATTCTTTGTCAATAGAAACTGCTTTTGTTTCACAAAGTGTGCTAACATGACATATGTCCTTTCAGATTGCTGTACTCAATCACATGTTGTTAATAGTATTTTCCTCTAAGCAGTAATGTTTTGTAACATGTTACATGTTATGTATGCTACATGTATTTTGTATATGTGTATATATGTTGTTGTTAAGTGCCATTGAGTTGGTTCTGACTTACAATGACTCTGTATTGGGTTTCCAAAGAGCAACTGGTGAGCTTGAACCACTGACCTTGTGCTTCAAACTGACTTTGTGGGTTAGTACTTTATCTTACAACGCCACACCGAACTCCGGTTATTTGTGGTGGTTAAATTCTGTAAAGTCCCCACAAATACTGACGAAGCAAATATCAAACCATCTTGTTCCACTTCAGCAAAGAATTGTTCCGACTCTGCATAGGCAAATGCCTTCAAATGACCATGAAAGCCCACATGTGTTCAAAATGTTATATGTTATAAATATATAAAAAAGTATGTTTTGTTGTTGTTATGTGCCGTGGAGTTGGCTCCGACTCATAACGACCCTGCATAGGGTTTTTGAGGCTGTAAATCTTTATGGGAACAGAAAGCATCATCTTTCTCCCGCGAAACAGCTGGTAGTTTTAAACTGCTGATGGTGAGATTAGCCACCCGATTCGTAACCGCTATGCTACCAGACCTCCTTATGTAAAAAAATATAGGCAAGTGTTTATTGTTCATTCTGGTCATTTACTTTATCCTGGTTTTTGTTGGACTGTGGTGGCTTGTGAGTTGCTGTGATTCTGGAAGCTATGCCACGGGTATTTTAAATACCAGCAGGGTCACCCATGGTGGACAGGTTTTCAGATGAAATTCCAAATGAAGACAGACTAGGAAGAAGGAAACGAACTACTTCTGAATATTCAGTCACTGAAAACCTTATGAAATAGCAGGGAAACACTGTCAAAAATATAGTGCCGGAAAATTAGCCCCTCAGGCACTCAAAATGTGACTTGGGGAAAAGCTACCTCCTCAAAGTAGAGTTGACCGTGATGATGCAAATGGTGTAAAGCCCATGGGAGTAAAGCCTGTGGGACATTAATTTGCTAAAGGGGCACAACTGAAAATGAAGAGAAACATCTATAAACATCCATTGAAAATCAGAACATGGAACGTACAAAGTATGAATAAAGGAAAATTGGAAATTGTCAGAAATGAAATGGAAAGCATAAACATCAGTATATTAGGCATTAGTGAGCTGAGATTGACTGGTATTAGCCATTTTTGAATCTGAAAACCACATGGTTTACTATGCCAGGAATGATAAATTAAAGAGGTATGGTGTTGCATTCATCATCAAAAAGAACATATCCAGATCAGTCATGAGGTAAAATGCTGTGATAGGATAATATCTATGCGCCTACAGGGAAGACCAGTTAACACCACTATTCAAATGTACACACCAACTACTAAAGCTAGTGAGAACGAAATAGAAGAGTTCTAACAACTTCAATCTGAAATTGATCAAATATGCAATCAAGATGTATTGATCATTACTGGTGATTGGAATGCAAAGGTTGGAAACAAAGCGGAAGGATCAGCAGTTGGAAAATATGGCCTTGGTGATGGAAATGGTGCTGGAGATTGCATGATAGAATTCTATAAAATCAATGATTTTGTTCATTTCAAATACCTTCTTTAGACAGCATGAGAGATGATTATACACATGAACCTCACCAGATGGAAAACACAGAAATCAAATTGACTGCATCTGTGTAAAGAAACAATGGAAAAGTTCCATATCATCAGTTAAAACAAGGACAGGGGCAGATTGTGGAACAGACCATCAATTGCTCATATGCAGATTCCAACTGAAGCTGAAGAAAATGAAAAATCCAGAAGAGCCAAAATACGACCTTGAATATATCCCACCTGAATTTAGAGATCATCTGAAGAACAGATTTGATACATTAAACACTAAAGACCGAAGACCAGAAGAGTTGTGGGATGACATCAAGAACATCATACATGAAGAAAGCAAAAAGTCACTGAGAAGACAAAAAAGAAGGAAAAGATCAAAATGGATGTCAGAAGAGACACAGAAACTTGCTCTCCAGCATAAAGATGCTAAACCAAATGGAAGAAATGAGGAGGTACAAGAGCTGAATAGAACATTTCAAAGATCAGCTCGAGAAGATAAAGCCAAATATTACAACAAAATGCGCAAAGATCTGGAATCAGACAACCAAAAAGGAAGAGCACGCTCAGCATTTCTCAAGCTGGGGGAACTGAAGAAAAAATTCAAGCCTCGACTTTCGTTATACAGAAAGCAACAAGAGAAGATGGAAGGAATACACAGAGTCACTGTACCAAAAGGAAATGGTTGATGATCAGCTATGTCAAGCGGTAGCATATGATCAAGAGCCAATGATACTGAGGGAGGAAGTCCAATGTACATTGAAGTAATTGGCAAGGCACCAAGAATTGATGGAATAAAAATTGTAATAATTCAAGATAGTGAGGCAGCACTGGGTTCATTCACTCATCTCTGCCAAGAAATTTGGATGCTAACTATATGGTCGACTAATTGGAAGAGATCCCATTGTGCCCATTCTAAAGAGAGGTGACCCAACGGAATGTGGAAAGTGTTGGACAATCTCTTTGATATCCCATGTGAGTTAAGTTTTAATCAAGGTAATACAGAAACGGCAGCAAGCATACATTGACAGAGAACTTCCAGAGTTCAAGCTGGATTCAGAAGAGGCCGTGGAACAAGGGGTATCATTGCTGATGTCCGATGGATCTTGGCTGAAAGCAGAGAATATCAGAATGATGTTTACCTGTGCTTTATTGACTATGCATAGGCTTTTGATTGTGTGGATCATTACAAGCAATGGACAAAATTGCGAATATGAGTATTCTGGAACAATTGTGCTTATGAGGAATCTGTACCTGGACCACAAGGCAGTTGTTTGAACATAACATGGGAACACTGAATGGTTTAAAATTAAGAAAGGTGTTCCACAGGGTTGTATTCTTTCACCAAAATTATTCAGTCTGTATGCTGAGCAAATAATCTGAGAAGCTGGCTTTTATGAAGAAAAACATGGCATCAGGATTGGAGGAAGATTCATTAACAACTTGCGATATGCATTCATTAACAACCTTACTTGCGGAAAGTGAAGAGGACTTAAAATACTTAACTGATGATTATCAAAGACCACAGTCTTCAGTATAGATTGCATCTCAATGTAAAGAAAACAAAAATCCTCACCACTGGACCAATAAATAACATTCTTATCAACAGAGAAAAGATTGAAGTTGTCAAGGACTTATTTCTTCTTGGATCAACTATCAACACTCACGGAAACAGAAGTCAAGAAATTAAATGACGTATTTCATTAGGCAAATATGCTGTACAAGACTGTTTTAAAATGTTGAAGAGCGAAGATGTCAACTTGAAGACTAAGGTGCATCTGACCCAAGCCATGGTGTTTTCAATAACCTCAGTGCATGCTAAAGCTGGACAGTGAATAAGGAAGACCTTATAAGAATTGATGATTCTGAGTTGTGGTGTTGGAGGAGAATATTGAAAGTGCCATGGGCTGCCAAAGAACCAGTAGATCTGTGTTGGAAGAAGTGCAGCCAGAGTGCTCCTTGGAGGTCAGGATGGCCAAACTTCGTTTCTCATACTTTGGACATATTTTCAGGAGGGACCAGTCACTAGAGAAGGATATCATGTTTGGTAAGGTGGAGGGTCAGAGTAAAAGAGGAAGACCATCCAGCGAGATGGGTTGGCAAAGTGGCGGCATCGATGGACACAAGCGTGGCAACAATTGTGAGGTTGGCCCAGGACCAGCCAATGTTTCGTTCTGTTGTACATACGGTCGCTATGAGTTGCTACCGATTCTATGGCACCTTAACAACAACAACATTGAGTGAGAGTGGGAATGTGGTAGGAGTGTTGTAGATATGGAAGGTGAAGATTTGAAAAGGGTGATCTCTACATTCTCTGCCTGTCTAAAGTATCTTTCTCTTAAAACTAAAAACTATTGCTGTTTATTGCAACCATATAGGACAAAGTACACGGGACCAATAGGGTTTTGCAAGGCTGTAAATCTTTACAGGATTAGTGCTGGTTGTACAGCGGTTACGTGCCCAGCTGCTAACTGAAAAGTCAGTGGTTTGAACCCCCCAGCTATTCCAAGGAAGAAATATGTGCAGTCTGCTTCCGGAAAGATTGGTGGTGGTGTTACTATGCTGATTCAGACACATCGGGACCCTTTATGGGGATTCCCAAGGTGTAAATGTCTATGGGAGCAGAAGGCCTCGTTTTTCTCCTTTGGTGTACTTGAACTGGTGACTTTGCGTTTAACAGCCAATGTATAACGCACTATGCTACCAGGGCTCCTCTCTGTAAAAATTGTTATTGTTAGGGCTGAATAGTCAGTTCTGACTTGTAGTAACCCTGTATATGGCTTCCATGAAGCGGCTGGTGGGTTTGAACTGCTGACTTTAGTATTTGAAGTCCAGTGCTTATCCTATAGCACCAAGCCAGTTCTACTCGTCCCAAGGGTCATTATGAATTGGAAGCAACTTAAAAGCACTGGAATTCGTTTGTTTTTTTGTTTTCCTAATTTTTTCAAACTTTACGGAAGCAGAGTACCACATCTTTTTCTTGCTTGGTATCTCAGGACAGACCTTTGGATTAGCAGCCATGCATTTAACTACTGCACTGCCGCGGCTGCCTCCTCTCTTGTTGTTGCTGTTATTTGCTGTCAATTTGGTTTCGATTCATAGTGACCCTGAATAGTGTTTTCGAGAGCAGCTGGTGGGTTTGAACTGTTCACTTTGTCTAGTGCTTATCCTGTATCCTATTCACAGAACACATTATTCATTGTTTGTTTGTTTTTTTTCTTTTCTTTTCTTTTTACCTGACTGAGGCAGCACTTTTTGCTTCTTAATTGATCAATCACTTGTGGTGATACCATGGAGTCTACTGTGACTTATAGTGATCCTGTATGATGGAGTAAAAATATCCCTTTCTGAGGCTGACATTTTTATGGAATCAGATCGCCAAGTCTCTCTCCTATGGGATTGCTGGGCAGGGTTGCTATGCTGACCTTTTGGGGAGCAGTCCTGCAGCTAACCGTTGTACTTACAGGGTGGTGATGGTTATGTGCCGTGGAGTCGGTTCTGTACAGGGTTTCCGAGGCTGCGAATCTTTATGGGAGCAGAAAGCCTCATCTTTCTCCCGCGGAACAGCTGGTAGTTTAGAACTGCTGACCTTGCGGTTCACAGCCCGATTTGTAACCACTGTGCTATCAGAGCTCCTTTGTTGTTGGCGGTGGTGGTTATGTGCTGTGGAGTCGGTTCTGACTCATAGCAACCCTGTACAGGGTTTCCGAGGCTGCGAATCTTTATGGGAGCAGAAAGCCTCATCGTTCTCCCGTGGAACAGCTGGTAGTTTTGTACTGCTGACCTTGAGGTTAGCAGCCCAACTTGTAACCACTACGTTACCAGAGCTCCATGGTTCAAGTGATTTATGGAACTATTAGGATATTTCCAACAAGTTTCAGAAGCGTTTTCTAACTGTGCTATGATCAGCAGCTGGGGGCATCTTTGGTGCTAAGTCACAGACTTTTATCAAGATTTTTGCTTTTATTCAAAGAGTCATAGAACCACCTCCTTTTTTTTTAAGATAGAATGAAATTTATAAGTCAAATTAATTAGTTACAAAAGCCAGTTATCTCCTAGAAGAAGACTGTACCATCCAAGGTTATTTAACTATCATCACATGAAATTAGAAAGAAAAGTAAATCATTACTTCTTAGAGCCTATAGTCAGGAAACATTAACCCATTTGTGGGATGTTGTCATCCTTAAACTTATAATTTCGGTTAATATCTAGGGAAGCGGCTTTCATTACACAATGAAAATGTCTTGTAAAACTGTAGACAACTTAAGAAAATGTTTGTCCTTTCTTCTGTTATAATGCAGGATGAAAGATGACATCAGTCTGTTTTGATATGTATTTGATGACTGTTCCAAGAGTGGAAATTACAATCTAATTCAACAGAATTTCAGTACATAATTCCATAAGCTGTAATCATTTGTAATTTTTTAATGGAGCAATCATATATGCATATTTTTTCTTTTAGGTTCAAGAGTTGACCAAGGAATGGACAAATAAGTGGAATGAAACCCAAAATATCTTGAAAGTAAGTGCTATAAAAGGTGTCTTGCTTGGTCTACTATGATGACTTAACTAGGCAAAAAGAAAAATTCCCCCCTTAAACATGGCTTTGCTTAAGGTATTATCAGTGGCATTTTTTGGAGTAGTGGTTCTGATTGAATTCGAAAGAGTGCACATGGGACTAATAGACATTATTGTGTGTCTTTTAACACTGTTAGGTTATGTTAATACTTGAGATGTTTACCTTCCCTTATTGGAGTGTTTCGTTTTTGACTTAGCAAATGTTGTTTGGTGCCATTGAGTAAGTTCTGACTGATAATGACCTGCACCACCTTCATAATTGTTATAATGTTTGAACTCACTGTTATGGCCCCTGTAACTGTCCATTTCATTGAGGATCTTCCTCTTTTTCTCTGACACTCTACTCTGCTGAGCATATTGTCCTTCAGGGACTAGTTCCTCCGTGTATTGCTGCTGTTGCTATGTACCATCGAGTTGGTTCCTACTCATAGGAACCCTGTGTAGGGTTTCTGAGGCTGTACATTTTTATGGGAGCATAAAGCCTAATTCTTTTCTCTCATGGAGTGACTGCTGACTTTGTGGTTAGCAGCCCTATGTGTAACCCAGTATGCTACTTGGACTCCTTCCTTCATGGTGTTTGAACTGATATTCAAGGATATCTACTTTGCCTTTCCACTTTTGTTAAACCCAGTTTAAAGTGGTATGTTAAGTAAAATGAAGATTTCCCATATAAACATTGCAGAGTATGCCTGCATACCATGGCAAGTTTTCAGGAATTTCTAAATTAGGATTTTCATCAGAACTTTTTCTTCTTGTCTTGAGGGCTAGACAGTGATTGTCTGCATTTCTATTAAGACTCATTGTGAAAGATGTCAGTAATGACCTCCATTTTTCATGCTGTGTGCTTTAAAATATATGTTTCTTTATGTTTGCATTTTCTACTGAGTTAGCAGAAAAACTTGATCTATTGCTTGTCAACTACACCAGGTATCAAGTTCAAATTCAAATTTATTTATTATTTGCTTTGGAACGAGGCTGCCTGGAATTTTATGCATGAGAAAAGGCAATTTAGAAGCTAATAAATGTTTGTTTTGAGATCTGTTGAAAGGTGAGATTTCCTAAGGATTTAAGTATAGATCTAATAATGGTGAAGCTAGATGAAATTTAAGTAAACACTTTGCAGAACCTTAACTTGGATCCCCTTCACATGAAAACGGTACACCCAATTGCTGTTTCGTTTTTGAAAGCCTGAATTAGCCTTTAGATTGTACGTTTAACAATCCTCAGAGAGCAGGGTTGGCATCAGATTATATAAAGCTCTCTTTGTACTATTTAGGCAATTTGTCCTGCTTTGGGAATTAGACACACTGTTACTTAGGAAATCCAGGTTGTACTGAAGTTCTAGATTTGGTGAGATCTGGCTCTAGGGAAAATCTGTCCAGCTGTAGAAAGCACTGCAATAAGGGAGTAGTTTTGCATTCAGGCTCCCCTCCCCCATTATTATAATGCATTATTTTGAGGTGCTTTCTCATTGTTTCCTTTGTTGAGAGATTTTTGTGCAGAAAACTGAACAAAGATCTCATTCGTATTTCACAATAGTCAAGTGTGGAGTAAGCACTGGCAAAGATGCTAGTTTCTTGTGGGTTTTTGTTGTTGTTGTTGTTGTTTTGTTTTAGTTGCATTCATTCTAGGAAGTAGTGTTAAAGCCTCTAATTTATGAAGACCAAGTCATTTGACTGTGTACACTTTCCTGGGTAAATTTGCCAGAGGGAGGACTAAAATTTCCTCTGTTGAGAGGAAAAAGAAATCGAATGATGAATCATTTGAAGACTCATTAGTATACCTAATTAATACCTATGAGCATGGAGGCATTGCAACAATCATTGACAGATTTAAGCTTTATCTCTTCTACTGCAATGATGTCTCTTCTTGTGACTGTCATTGAGATTTATACTCTCTCTGCAAAGATGTCCACATTAGGAGTCCTAGTGGCGAAACCTCTGAACTCTGTTTTATGTCCTTTCTCATAAGGAGAGTCTGATTCTGGGCTCTGAAGCAAAATCTTTTTTCAATTCCAATTTAATTTTTCATAAATCTCATTTTTACTTTTTATAGCTTTTCAAATGAGAGGAAAAATGTGTTGTGTGCTAGGAGTTAAAGGTTATGAGAAAGGATAATGATATTTCAAATTTTTCACTTCTCTTGACCTTGCAAGTCCATTTTAAATCTCTCTGTTGGTGTATGTGCTTTAAATCTATACTTTTCTACTCATGTCTGATATATTTTAAAGGACTATGCTAATTTTTTATTGGAAGACTGTACCTGAGGGCTGAAGTGAAGAAGAGGAATTTTAAAATGCTTTTTAAAGAAAACATTATTTGGAAATTTCTGGGCAAATGGATTGTTAGTCAATGAGTTTATGCCTTCATGGTTTGTGTAATCTTTCCCAAATTTCTGCTGTTTCATCAGTTAACTGTTGTTCCAATGGTGCTGTATTTACCCAAAATGAGTTATACCATCCAGAGGACTGAAAGGACACTCAACCCATGACTTAGGACAACAATCATTATTGTTCCTCATGCATGCTCTGGTTGGCTGGGGATTGGCTTGTTTAGTCTGGTTTAGTCTGTTTTGTTTGTCTCTCATCCGCTTTGTACCAGCTTTCTATCTGGGGCTTGTTCTTCTCATGGTCATTGTCAAGGTCCAAGCAAACAAGCCCAATCATGTAAGCACATCTCAAGCCTCTCTTCACATCATGTGTGCTGAGGGTTAATGCACTGTACTGCAAAATCTGTTTGAACTGCAAGGTCGGTGGTTCTAACCCACTAGCCAATCCTTAGAAACCCTATACAGGGTCACTGTGGGTCTGAACCGACTCAATGACACTTAACATCAACACTAGGCGACAAGTATTTTAATCTGTACTATTGTTGTGTGCCATCGAGTCAATTCTAACTCATAGCAGCCCTGTAGCACAGAGAACCGCCTCATAGGGTTTTCTTGGCTGAAATCTTTACAGGAACAGATTACCAGGTCTTGTGACTAGTGGGTTCAAGCTACTGACCTGTTAGCAGTCAAGTGCTTAATCATTGTACCACCAGGGGTCCTTTAATCAACATATGCCTACCATAAAATACAATATTTAAAATTCTGGGATCTTACTGTAATACAGAATGTTACACATTTTGTGGAGACAGATCTGATGAAGCAGTAAATTCCCACTATTTTCTTCATCAAAGTGCTGTTGTTTTCTTTTCTGATGGATTATCATCCCTTTCAAGCCCCAAATTCTAAGCATTCAAAGAGAGACCTTTGGGGAGAAGATGGAAGAGAGTTAAACCAACCAGAGGATTGAAGGGAGACATGAGCATCAACAGTGATGCCTTGTTGTCCTTTTGCACCTAACTGTTTGGACAATCATTTCAGAGTTGATTCATGGGTATTGTTCGATGAGGGACTAATGAGTAAAAGTCATCTTATCATAGTGTTCAGAATGATCTTCTTTGTTGTTTTTAAGCTAACTGCTATGTGCTTATGTTTCCTGTGTCTGAACTGAGAGTTGGGATCAGTTTTTTAGCATACCTCATGAGAAGTGGCTTCATAAATATAAAAGAACCCCCTTTCATGCAGTTGTTGTTGTTGAATGCCATAGAAATAGGTTTTCTAAGGAGTGACTGGTAAGCTTGAATTGCTGACCTAAGGTCCTGAGGGAATACCTAAGGGCCTATTGAATGGAGGTACGTAGATAAGGAGTACAAGATGGCTGGGTAGTAGATGGGACCACTGACTTCAGTCTACAGAATTCCAGTTGTAGGTTTGTTTCATTTCCATGTCTGACTCCTGTGGACTGCCTTTTCTCAGGTTCCTGAGAGACTCATTGTGGGAGATTTGATTAGGTATCCCCTCAACCCTTGAAAGGTCTGTCTTAATTTCCCTGGACATTATGTGGCAGATGTGCTTTCTCCATGGCCCCAGGTACAGCTTCACTACCTAATGTGACCGTACTTGTTGCTTGGTGACATAGCTTTGACTCCATAGCCACATTCTCCTCCTGTTGACCATCCTGCCAAGGGGATGACACAGGTCTTCTGCTGTTGCCAGTTTATGATTTATCTGTCCCAGATAGCTTAAGCTGACTAACCAATTTTGTCCTAAAATTTCACTGCTGTTACATTTGATTCTGACTCATAGCAACCCTATGTAGGGTTTCTGAGACTAAATCTTTATGGGTACAGATAACCTCTTATTTCTCCTGGGGCGTAACTGATGGCTTTGAACCACCAGCCATGTATTTTTCAGTCACTCAGGGCCCTTGTGGTTTTTGTGTCATGGCTAGACTTTGTCTGACAAGAATATATGCTTCACCTCTTAATCTTTGAAGTTGTATGCCAGCTTCTCAGAATCTGGTGTGTTAACATATTGTTCCCTTTTTCTGTGTCTTTTCAGACACCTCTTAGAATGTTCATCCTTGCTGAGTTTTTCATAAACTGTAACGATTCTCTGGGGACATGGAAGTTTATACTGTGATAAATTCAGCTTCTTTAAGTCTTGGGGTCACTGAATTCTTGAGGTCTTTGCTATTGGTTTCCCTTTTGCCACAGTATTATGCTTACTACTTAGTGTTTTTGAAGTGGTTTATAAACTGAGTGCTAGATTCCATACATTTTTCCTTTACTGATGAACTTTTTTCAAGTGCTCCTTTAAGACAGGGATAGGGAACTTTTTTTCTGCCAAAATTTATAGCATCATTTGCAGGCAATGTAAAATTATCAACTTAAAACTTAGCCTGATATATTTGATCAAATATTTAATTAGCTCACTCCTAATATGATGAGTTGGGTTAATGTGCTGGACTGCAAGGTTGGTTTGAACTGCAAGATTGGCAGTTGTAACTCACCAGCCACTCCTCCTAAACCCTAGGATTGCTATGAGTCTGAACCGCCTCACTGGTACTTAGTAAGAGCAACAGCAATGTGATGGCTAGAACTGTGGGTGCCTTGGCAG